GTCTCTTACTATGATTCAATGAAAATTATAATTTCCCTTTCCTTAGTCATTTTGATTTTCTTTTAAAATTTAATTACTATACAGAAATTCATATGAGCTAATGGTGAAAGCAAACTGCTAATCAGCACCACGTGGTTAATCTTAGCCCATTAGTGATTGTTGACATCTATCTTTGAAATAACAAGCTGAGCTCAACTGCTGGGTGGCAAGGGCCCAGGTCACACACAGGCAGCCTACTCTAGGTTGTGCTACACTTGTTCACTTGTTATACCCTGACTCTTGTCATTGAGGAGTTACAGCACATCAAAGTAGATTTAAATGACTCTTTTTAACCTTATTTCCAGGAATTTTGAGTATGCCACACATACATTTTCCACATATCTAATTTATAACCAAAGCTGCTGACTGCACAAATTACCCATGACATCACTCTATATGGCATTGGGAAAGCTCACTGGCACTGAGTAAGGGACTTACATATCATTATCCACATCTAAAGGAATAACTGTCAGAAGTGACATCCTAGACACTCCCATATTAGTTCAGTAACTGGTGTTTGGATTTTTTCCTAATTTCTAGAAAATTTAAAGTCCTATCATTTGAAGGAAAATACTCAATACTGATACCTCAAGCAAGTCTACATAATGAAATCTATTGGTGAAACAAAAACAAAAAGTACCATACATCAGTAATCAGGCCAATCAGAAATAGCAACTGCTCTCATGACAGCCAATCAGAGTCAGCTGCGGCATCATAATGGCATATCAGAACACCCCATGCTCATGCAGTTATGCTATTCAGACTTTTATCTTTCATCCAAGTCTTTGAAAAAATTTCTTATCACTCTGTCTCTGCCTCTGTCTCAAACTCTCTCTTTTTTGACACCTGAGCCAGTTGTTCCTTCAGACTAGCCTATTAGTATGCATTGTTACACAAATACTGTACAAGACTAAAAGAGTAGCAAAAAATAAGGTGCAGTAAACATACCAGGTGATGCAGCATGATAGATGATACCACCATTTGGTTTACTATCATCTCTATCTGGTATAACTGTGTGGCAAACTGCCAACATCATCAGGAACTGTCGAACTATAGCTGATCCTGGACCCCCAGTCTCAACCAATGAGATCAAATCTTGGGCACTGTCAAGAAATATTAAGGGTCATTATCATTTTGTTACTTTTTCACAATTATTAACAGGAGTATCAGTGTTAGTAGGTACATACTAGTTGCTTCAGTTTACTTCCACTTTCACATACCTTCCATCATCCATGCTATATACTTTTCCGCCAATAGTGCACCTCTTGAATTCCATTATGTTGCAAGTCAGTGTGCCAGTCTTATCAGATAACACATATTTAATCATTCCCAACTCTTCATTCAAATTTGATGTTCTTGCCATTGCCCAGATGTCATTCTCTTCATACACCATATTCACATCATTGTTGATGAAGCCAGCCTGTTGTGAAAGTAAAAAATATTGATTACATAGCATCTACTGTAATGGAAATCTTCCCATATTTTCTTTGGAGTACTTCCCTAAATTACTGCCATGCTGCCAGCAAAGTAAAAGGCTGAATACTTGATTTACTTACATGGGATTTTTTAAAATTATAGTGACATTTATCAAAACAGTATAAATGTGACAAGCTGATTCTAAAAAAATATATGAAATATGGTCCTGATTTTAACATCATTATCAAAACTAAATATCAATAACCTCTTCTGCCAATTGGATTATTTATCTTACATGTGTGGTTTTCCTTAACTACATACTATCTAAATAACTTTATTCTAATATCATAACATTTACTCAAAATTACTTTGTTTCTCTAAATTGACAATGCAAATCCTGTTTACCTATGAGATATCCTTACCTGTATAAATCTTACAACCTCTAGAGTTACTTGAAGGGAAATAGGTATAAGATTGTTGAACAGAATGATGAATGTGATGAAGTTTATGCCAAAGTTGAAGACACTCAGATCTGTTGGAATGGGAAAAACTGATTAAGCTATAAGCAAAACATGAAAGTACATCAGTGCGTACACATGCATGCACATGCACACACACACACACACACACGCACACACGCACGCACGCACGCACGCGCGCACGCACGCACGCACGCACACACACCACACACACCACACACGCACGCACCCACCCCCACGTGCACCCACCCACGAGTGCACCCACCCACACACACCCACACACCCACCCACCCACACATGAAAGCATGCACCCATGCATCCACGCACGCACCCATGCACACACGCACGCACCCATGCACCCACGCACGTACCCACACAAGCACCCCCACACCCCCACGCATGCACCCACCCACAACACTCACACAAAATAGACATGTACATCTAAACATGTAAAATTTTGTAAAAATCTGTTAAAATATCTTGAAAAAAAAAAATTATTCAGTTCAAAAATTAGCCTCACCGCATCCTCAGTAGCAAGTGATTAATTCATGTGCCTGTCAACAATAATAGGTCATTCTGTGTATAAACAGCATAAAACTATCAAAATTAATTCAGTAATTATCCCATTGCCTTCCAGGTATACTCACCATCAATGGAGAGGTACCAGTGCAGATTCGCATCCCACTGAGAGTTACAGACTGCCATAATGAGGCAAAGAACTATAAGCAGGAAAAACAGCAGAATGATCAGATTGTTGGTCTGCTTATCCACCTGAAATTCAAAATCAAATTCATCACATACAAATACAGATATAAGGATGATGAAAAAACATGGAAGACTTCTAAGCATACACATATGAGGCTACAATCCAGCTATCCAATGATCAATTAAATTCATACATCAGTTTAGTTGGATTTGTTTGTATATATAGATGATTCTATTAATAATATGGGCATCATAAATCTGTTTATATAACAATATGAGAAACTACATAGAACAAAATGACCAACAGCACATCTGAAACCTTTTAAGCAAAAATACCATCAACTTCTTTCATCAGTGCAAAACAATTATCTCAACTTACTGTAGAGCGTTTGAGAGGTGCTGAGGTAGCAGAATTCTTCATAAGTTTAGTTTCATGGCCAGTGTAAACTACAAGACCAAACACCCAATTCGTGTTCTGGAGTTTTGCCCCTCGCAGAAGGACTTGATCTGGGCTTAAAGGGACGGCCCTGTGAAATGATACATAATTAATTAGTACACTTTTAGAAGTCTCTTTGGTACCTTTCTTTTACCAGTTGATGCAAAAATTCCCATTAATAGTTATATGATTTTCAGTCTCAACTCACTCACTCACTCTCTCTCTCTCTGATCTAATCACTCAGGATAAACTATATACTCACTGCCTGCTGGTCATTTTCAAGTTACCAGTAAACTGGTAAAGAAATCTATTCGGTGCTTCACATTCCACTTTGCCTGATAGGTTCATTAAATCACGTGCTTCCAAGAGGTGTGCTGTTTCTTGTAGACCTTGTCTTATCTTCAGATTTGTTTCTCCATCAAGGTTAGCAGTTTCCACGTAACACAGAGCTTGTGGCTCACTGGAATACAAGATCAAGTATCTAGTTCTCTGCAAGATGACTGCATCCCTATACTAAAAAAATCATAATACAGGTTATGAATACTGATGATACAGTATCAAAAGAGACTGAAAGACACATCTGGTGTGTTAATGGAAAAAGTAAAGCATTAATGAACTTTAAAGGACACCTACCTGGAGGCCAAGATGATTAAGTCAGCAGGAAAGAATCTGTTGTTGTGAACCTTGACAATATCTCCCACTTGTACATGACGCCACTTGATCCACTGCCACTGGCCATCACGAAGCACCTCAATCTCACGCTTGTTGATTTCATCATCTGCTCTATGTCGTTTCTAGGTAAATATGTAAACGTATATCAATATTTTCCCTTCAAAAGCATCATTAGATATGGCATTACCACTATACTGCTACAATAAACCAACTAGAATGAAGAATGCATTTATTACTCACATACATATATTCACATATATATGAAAAAAATAAATAAAATCTAGAGGTATTTAAAACACCTCAAACACAAAATAATACAAAAATTCATTCAACAAAGAATTTCAAAAAAATTTGGTGTCAAAATGACACCAAAATATTGTCAGAGTTGCATATCAAAGTTGGCATTATTGTCAGAGTTGCATATTCTGGACAATGTCTATCTTCAGGTCCTTATCTCACTTCTCCTTTCCCTTTCCCTCTCACATGCTCCCTCTCATTCATGCACTCTCACTCTCTTCTCACTCTTGCTCTGTATATATCTGTATGTGTGTGTGTGTCAATTATAACCCACCAGCTTTGGGCTGACAACTATTGACCCATGACATGTGAACTATCACTAACATTCTTGGTGGGTTATCCAACAGCCCACATTCCATTCATCTGTTACCTCCTGCCTGGTTCCTGACTTGTACAGACACCTTCTTCATGAGCCTCCTCTAGCCTCTATGGGCCCTCCTGGTTCCCCATTCAGATCTGTCTGTCTGTCTGCCTTTCACTCTTATTACTGCTATCACTATCTCTATCTCTACTTCTATCTTTATCTCTACTGCTACTTCTATCTCTGTTTCCATATCCACAACAATTTTTTTCTACCTCTAACCCATAAGAAAAGAAAGAAAAGAAAAAAAAGTGTTTGGTTAGTGCTCTCCCATAAGAAAAAAAATAAAAAGAACCGAGCACAATAGTGGGACTATCAAATGATGACATTTTTTCACATACTGTCTATATATTGTGTGCTTCCTATTAAAAAAGCAATCATGCTGCTTTCATATACTTTAGATTTTCACTGTCTGTGGAAACATAAACAGGACTTGGGCAAAGCTCTAGGTCTCACTCTCCTAGTTCCCCTAATGGTGTTCCTAGACCAGGCTAAAAGAGCAGTAATCCTGATTTTGAACTTGGTTCCAGAATCAGAGAAGGCTAGTGGAGGCCTTACCTTGATCAAATTTTGAGAAGTGTATTGCTTGACTTGGTCTTTCTGTGTTTAATTCTATTTTGCTAAAACAAAGTTTTTTCTTTCATACCAAAAAATCTTTCTTTCCGTTTTGTAAAAAGTGCATATTTATTGGTCCGCAAGACATTTTCTTTTACATGCAAAAATGTATATAACTTTGAAGATGGTACTGATGGGCATGTTAACTAGAGAGGACACTATTTCCAGACTCATGATCCTATTCCTGCCTGTCCTGACCAGCAATATTGGGTGTTACAAAGAAGATAAAACTATGTTATCTATTTATGTTGTTATTGTGCAGAGTTGTAGACTACCTTGAGACAATATAGTCAAGATGAAGAGTCTACTACCATCCTAATACAGCATAACAACTGACAAATGCAGACCTTGGAAAATAGCAAAAAAGCAAACAATTCTTATGCAGAGAAGAGATTTTAACTTTGCAATGCCTCATAAGTGTATTTTAGGCTGGCTGTACAAGCCACACACCTCGGACAGCCATAGCAAAAGTGTGCCTAATACCCGGATTTTGGTCCCTTCGTCCATCTGTACAAGGTACCCAACCCATCCACATAACATTTAGTGAGCATTAAGGTAAAATAAAACAAAAAACTGGGATTCCTCAAACTGCACCACATCTTAAGAAGAGAGACTGAAATTATACATACTTATATCTAGCTATCTCCTGATATGGCAGATATCCCACCAAAGATGCAGATGAGAGGGACCAGGGTGGTGTAACGACCTGTTGGGGATACTCCTGGGATTTGCTGAGGAAGAAAAAAAAAAAAACTCAACTCTTTCACCATATTCTGATAATGATAACAATAACACATGATAATAATAACAATCATAACAATTTTTTACAAGACTCTACCAGATGGCTCTAACATGTTGCTAGCCACCAGGGAGTAAAACAGTTGTCCTCAGAACTTCACCTGATTTCACCTTTCCTTGAGTTTTGGTGGATTTTTTCTTCTCACTAACTGATATATAGATAATGATACTGTTATTTCATCATCACTGACATTGCAGTTATCACAATGTTATAACCCTACTAACACCAATATTAGAGAATATATTTCAGAATGTCAAGGAAAAGGGCAGACCAGGGAGATAGGTAGTACTAGTAATTCACTTCTTGGTGACAATTAATAAAATAAATTCACATTAGGCATGGCACGGACATACATGCCATCCCCACCAGCTTTGGGTTAATAAACCTAATAACAATAAAAACAATAATAATGGCAATAATAATGAGTGAGTAATAAAAAAAGAGTAATAAAATAAAACTAACAATCATAACAACTATTATGCTAATAATTACAATGAAAACCATAACATTAAACAATTATATGAATAACATTAACAGAAACAGATATGATAAAAAACAATAACAGTTATAATAACAATAACAAAACAATAATAACAAGTATAATTAAAATCTTCATATAAATATTCATAATAAAAACAAAAACAGTAATAACAACAATAACAATATAAATACTAATAGCAATAGTATTAATCATAAAACATCAATAATATCTATAATATCCATAACATTGATATTACAATATTATTATTACAACTGCTACTACTATTGCTGCTACAACTACTACTAATAACAATAACAACAGCAACAACAATAATAATAACAACAATACAATAATATAATAATTAAATTACTAATCAATAATGATAATAATAATAATAGCACTACTTCTAATAATAACAATAATAATATAAAACATAATAATATTACAACAACAACAATAATAATCATAATAATTAATAAATAATAGTAAGTATAATAATAACAATAATATTAATAACAATAATAATTGTAACAATAATAGTGGTAGTAATAAAAATTATAAACATAATCATAATTAACTTAATCATAGTAATACCAACAACAATAGTGGAGTTAAATTACTTGATCATCGATTTTGGGAAATGTATTATATTTCTTTGAAACATAAAATGGCATTTATTTGTTTTACCTTATTTGACTATTTTAGGATATTAACTGGTATTGCATTTTGGGGGAATATTTAACTGACCTGTGATTTGATTTGATATGTTTAGTCATTATTTCTGTATTAAGAATAATCACATAATCTGATATTGTTCTTGAAAACCAGTTTGATTCTGTGTACACCCACATCAAAAAGAAGTAAGTTTATTTCTTTGCTATTTTATAGGAATGTGTTTCTTACACAAACTATTACAGGTTGAACCTTATTGGCAATAAGTTTTATAACAGTTGCCTCGTATTATTATTGATGATTGATGATGTGACAACACAATAAAAACAACACAACAACAACAACCAACAACAACAACAATAATAAATAGCAATGACACAACAGCAACAATAAAAACAGGAATATCAATAACATTAAGAAAAATAAACATGCCAATCAGCTCGCATCCCTGCGAGTAGGAGTCCACCCACCTGTAGCAGAGCGATGATGAGGAAGAAGACGTTGGCATATCGCCGAAACTGCTCGAAG